GAATCACAGAGTAGATTTTGAGCAGTTTTTTGGGTCGTTGTCTGGTTGAACTATCCAGCCCCATCGTAACTTCAACTTTGTGACTGATTGTTGAACATTATTCTCAAGAATCTGCTGATATTGAATGGAATCCATGCGACCCTCAACATTAACAAGATTCCCAGTACCAGGACTGGCCACACAGCCCCATAACATGATGGATTCTCCACCACATTTAACTGTGGGTAGCAAGTGCTTTTCTTGGAATGCTGTGTTCTTTCGCCACCATGCATAATGCCCCTTATTATGACCAAATAACTCAATCTTTGTTTCATCAGTCCACAGCACCTTGTTCCAAAATGGAGCTGGCTTGTCCAAATGTGCTTTTGCATACCTCAAGTGACTCTGTTTGTGGTGTGTGTGCAGAAAAGGCTTCTTCCGAATAGTTGAATGATGCACAGTGACACCATCTGCAGCAAGATCATGTTGTAGGTCTTTGGTGGTGGTCTGTGGGCTGTCTTTGACCATTCTCACCATCCTTCGCCTTTGCCTCTCCGATATTGTTCTTGGCCTGTCACTTCTGGCCTTAACAAGAATTGTGTTTGTGGTCTTCCATTTCCTCACTATGTTCCTCACAGTGGAACCTGACAGCTGAAATCTCTGTGATAGCTTTTTGTAGCCTTCCCCTAAACCATTATGTTGAACAACCTTTTCTTTCAGGTCATTTGAGAGCTGTTTTGAGGCCCCCATGTTGCCATGTTGTGCAAGTTTTTGCACCTGTGTAATTTTGATGCATATTGCACATCTTCTGTTAGTCCAATGAACCTAGTTTCACTTCTGAAATATTACTGTGTCCATCAGTTTTTCGATAAATCACAATGAAGTTGCTGATCCAAACACCCAATGATTTATAAATGAAAATAATGGTTAATGGAAAATAAAGCTAACACTTAGCATTTAGCATTGAGGCTATGATACTGTAACCCAGTAGCTAAGTTCACAAAAGTGAAAGAATATCTTTCACCATCCCATAATCACAGTGTAATGTGTGTTATAGAGATGTAAATGCAATGTATTTGGTAGTGTTTTTAAAAAAAGCAACTGTAAGTCCCCATTATGTCAAGTATATAAATCTGTATTAATTCAGCTAACACACACACACACACCATGATGTTTTATGAATCTTCACAGTATTTAGACATTATCAACAGTAACACAAGTTTTTGTTGCACTGCACTGTATGTGTATGTTGGTGTGTGTGTGCGCACATTTCAGACATCTGCAGAAATGAGAAAGGTCCTGAGATTCTCCTGAGTCACAGACCTCCCACACACTTCCTCTCCCAGAGCAACACACACTCGTACACAAATATAGCACCGATGCTCACACAGACTGTGGCCGGTGAAAAGACGTAAACAAAAAAGGCTCCGCTTTCATTTGTTCAAATAATACCCACAGCCATATACATTAATGAATACATTTAACCCTCCTGTTGTCCTCATATTCTGTATACAGTATGTCACAAAAGGGAGTACACCCCTCACATTTCTGCAGAGATTTCATTATAATGTTTAATAGAACAACACTGAAGAAACATCGCTTTGACACAATGAAAAGTAGTCTGTGTAAAGCTTATATAGCAGTGTAAATTTATTTTTCCCTTCAAAAAAACTCAAAATATAGCCATTAATAGCTAAACCCCTGGCAACAAAAGTGAGTACACCCCTAAATGTCCAAACAAAGCACTGCTTGTCATTTTCCCTCCAAAATACCATGTGACTCGTTACTCTTACTAGGTCTCAGGTGTGAATAGGGAGCAGGTGTGTTCAATTTGTAGTACAGCTCTCACACTCTGTCATACTGGTCACTGAAACTCCCAAGATGGCACACCATGGCAAGGAACTCTCTGGGGACCTTAAAAAAAAAGAATTGTGGCACTACATAAGGCTGGCCAAGGCTACAAGAAGATTGCCAACACCCTGAAGTTGAGCTGCAGTACAGTGGCCAAGATCCTCCAGCGTTTTAAAAAATCAGGATGCACTCACAACAGGGCTCGTGTTGGACGTCCAAAGAAGCTGAGTGAACGTGCACAGC